CTTAGTGCTCGCCATGGTTCTGGCTTGCACTCCCCTCAGCATGGTGGCGTGGGTATACCGTTCCCCATAGCGACCCCTAGAGGATGCAGTTCGAAGTTCCCATGAAAGGGAATGTCTCAGGTTACTTATGTAACCATGGTTCCCTGAGTAGGGAACGAGACACTGCGTCCTCTAGGTTTCTTACCATGCTGTGGACGCAAGCTTCAGACGAAGACGTGAATGATGTGTAGCTCCCGGCACCTATTTATACTATAGTCGCACCGGTAGTGACGTCATGGCTGTCGCCGGCCAACGAGTTGGTGTTTTTTCAATGTATGCTTCAGACACGGGTCACGACGAGGCGTACCCCATAGCGACCCCTAGAGGACGCAGTGTCTCGTTCCCTACTCAGGGAACCAAGGTTACATAAGTAACCTGAGACGTTTTGGTTGAGAGGAAGGTGTTGCTTTGCTCATGTTAGGCTTGACTGAGACCTCAATTCGACCAGAGGACAGAGTGTGGCTACAGCTGGAATAAAGTCAGCTTTGAGACAATCAATAGTATCAATCAGACAAAAATCTAAATGCACACCAGACATGCTAAGTGTGTTAACTCAAACATAGTCACAAGTGGTAAATAAACAAGCAGTTATCAATGCAGCCATGAATGAACCATCTCTGAAACTCTTTAGTGTGCACATTGTTAGACGGATCTAAATTTCTGTCAGTAAGTTTGGGGCACCCCATCTCTGGTATCTGAGCTTACAGGATTGGATTGTAAGCTGTTGACCAAGTAAAGTCAACCATTTGCACACAATATTGAAAATATTGTAAAGAAGGTTAGGTAAAATCTTTGGAGGACTCTTACCTTGCCAGGTGTTGGTAAGAGCGTTCGTTGGGATGGTCAGATGTTTTTAATACCAGACTTAAGGGACTGTTGACTATTTGAGATGACATTTTAAAAAGGACGTTTTCTGCATATGATGTTATAGCATCATTTGCATAAAAACATTTACTCTTATCAATTCCAGTTTGTACAGTCATCACAACTTTGAGTATGTTGAATATCAAGGGTTTAACAAAACAAAAAAAAGCACTTTACTCAGATTAATCACATGCACAGCAATGCTTTGCAACCACTGCATTTGGTTAGCATCCACAATTTAAACCATTATGTTTCAACACTGCTCAGAAGCAAATAAATATACCAATAAATCTATACAAGCTTTGTGTGGGTGAATTTCTGGATGTTACTCACTCATTTCCAACAATAACGAAGCATTTGAAATTGCAATTAGCTATTAATCCTCAAGCTCACAGATCGTTTGTAAACAAAAATAATCAAGTTCCTTCAGAATGTGCCAGCATTGAGTCCTAACTGAAATTGATTTTAAAAAAACACAATAGTGAAACTGAAACACAGTTACGGATATATGCATTCTCAATACATGTTGAATACTCTAGTCTGAGGCGGTTTCTCTTGATGCAGTTAGGGTTAACATCTGTGTCACACACTCAAACTGTGCATGCAGACAAAAACTCACCTGCTTGTAGCTTTCTAGAAACCCTTAGACCTTGATTAGCTGGTTCAGGTGTGTTTGATTAGGGTTGGAGCTGAACTCTGCAGGACAGGTGCCTTTTCCAAATACCCACACTTGCGGTCTTTGCACTTGAGCACTTGTCTACTTACATGACGTGTTTCCTGTATTTGGCCCAAGTGTTCAAGTGGTCTTGAAGATCTCAAGTGTGCATTTAGACTTTAAACTAATGTAATATGCTTTAAGTGTTTTATATCTATAGATTTTATTTTAAGCAAGTCGATGATTTGAGAAGGCAAAAATTTATTAAACATGATCAATTCAGCTGTCTGCCGCTGTCCACTTGGTCGTCACTTAAAAAAAAAAAAAAATTCTCAAAAACACTTGAATTTAACAAACAAAAAACCGTCCAAACATTTTTCTAAATTAATTAATAATGAAACAATAAGAAATATAACTTTGCAATTAAAAACAAAACTAAACTATTTTAATGGCTGCAATAGCAGTTGTGTAATTAGGAAGCGAGAGAGAGAGAAACAAGACACAGACTCTAGTCGGACTAGGGCCAAGAATACTGGCCAAAGGCTGTCTAGAGCATAGGTTTGAGGCCTGTGCAAGGCTCTACCTGATTTCTGTGTTTGGAAAAGAATGTTGTGAATCAGGGGTTGTTTTCTAATTAAATGGCAAAATTCTTAAGTTGTATTATGTTGTCTAATTCTTTTTCTTTTTTTTTTTTGCATTTTACGGATTCCCCCAATCTCCCGCACACCCAAACTCTTTACCATATTATTATCAGTATTATTATTATTATTATTTTAAAAAATAGTTTCATTATTATTTAAACATGTTTTAATTAATACAAAGAAATTATAAAAAGTGATAATTCTTAATTTCTTAATTAATGGACATAATTTTTGTCATGTCATGGGCTCTGTATATGAGAATAAATGTTAAAAAAGGCCTGATAACGAATAAGTGTATGTACCCTGCTGAAATACATCAGCGAATTATTAAATGTAAGTTTTCAAACTTTTCATAATTTGTGACATTAATGTGACTATAGTGCCAAAATATCTGTTAGAACTAGGCCTAGCCTATAACACTCAACAATAAGCCACCTTTTCAATCGTTTTATTTTTTATAGCATAATGCACACCTCCTTAAATGTAATCTAAGTTAATATCCTACTTTTTGTAAGATTTCTAGGCGTTTTTCATGTCTCCGTTTTAGCCTATTAATCTTGATTTCTCACAACTTATTTTGTTAAAGGTTTATTTTATTTATTTATTTTTATTTTATTTTTAAAAAATTTATGGCGCGAGTCAGAGCAAATTGGGATGCGAATACAGTCTTATGAACGTCCAGCCTTGTTCAGAGGACCAACGGCCAAGGTCAGGATTTTTCCTTAAAAAACTTTAGCCTGTAGATTGAAATGAAAGCACCTTAATACAACATAAAAAAAATTGTAATTTTAATGGTTTTCATAATGACTGTTTAATAACCATAACATGTAGTAAGAGCCTTTGTGTAAATGTAATTCTTTTTTTTTTGATGCATTAGGCTGCAGCCTACGACTATCCCACGTTTTGAAATTAACCCTCACTGTAAATTTTCTAACGATTTTTAAGGATGTTATAATGTTATATTATAATGTTGTTGTTTTATTTCATTGTTTGATCTCCGTTTACAAAACAAAATATCATAATTTCAGTCAGTTTGCAAACTTTCCCTTTGCGCCACCTTGCAGTAGTTTCGTGAACAACTTCAACACGCGACTGACTTGCAGTTAACGCCGTGGCCCTGCGGCGGCGGTACATGCGGCGGTAGAAGTCATTTTGGTTGTCCACCTACTGTAGATAAACCAGTCTTTGACGTGGAAAAGTACTTACAGCCACGTCAGAGTCTGAGCAGACGTACGCACTTTTCCTTGTGACAAAGTATGAGTACTGCAGCTATTTGAACATCTAAGCTGCAATAATACTAAAAGCGGTGTACGTGCAAGCACTGAATTCATCATAAACAATAAAGATGCAGTGTAAAGGATTAATTGTGCAGTGTAGTCAGATTTTTTATTAACGGGAGTTTTTGCGTTTATTAGTTATTATTAGTTTATTATTTATTATTATTGCGTTTGCATCTGGACTAAACCAGAGATTGTCAGATCCAGTTCAGTCCAGGCTGATGTTCTGCTTCCACCTCCATGTGTTTCTGGCCAACAACTTAAACTGCAGCCCATGCCAAGTGACCAGTGAAGCATTTCAATGATCAATCTCTGCATAACTTCCAAAGTGGAATTGAGTTCAGATGAACTGCTGACTCTCCCAGCAAATCATCAGTTTACCCACTGCAGTCATGCTTTCACACTTTTATAATTCACACATAAGTGGTATTAAGAATCCCCGAGTGGACAATATATTCTAGGCATAGGAGTGATTTTGATTGAATTAATCTGATCAGCATTGTTATTATCCCTCACATATATACAGCCACAGGCAAAGAGACATTTTGCACTGCAGACCGGTTATCCTCTTTCTGTGATGCAGACAAACACGCGAAGTAAAGCACAATTTACCCATGGTCACAATTCACATTTAATCAGATCATTCTGGGAACATTTCTCTTTATATTTATTTTTCTGTAATATTTACAGACATTATTATAATTATTATTTTTGGCAGTTCTTAATTATACATTTCTCTATTCTGATTGATCTAACTTTTAGTTGTAATGCATTAAAATGTAATTCTACATATTAGGTAATTATGGCTAGTGAAGATATACTTTGATAAATCAGCTTGGTATTTACACACTGACACAATCTGCTCGTTAACACATACTGAAATAATAGAAATAATAGTAGTTATTAACCTTTATTTAACCAGGTAAGTCAGTTGAGAACCATTTCTCATTTACAATGACGACCTGGCCAAGAGGCAGCATAAAAAGCAGGTACAATTCAGAGTAGTGAATTCATAACCGCAAGATTATGTAATTCAAAAGTCTATTTTAGAAGAACAACATGAATTTTGGGACAGGTCCTTTAAAGCTTACATATACTAAAAATCCCTCTGCCACTTATACAAAATGTTTATATCCTATACCAGAAACAACACAAATGTTTATGAGATATTTTGTCTCCTCAGAACACAGGATTTGCAGTCTTCAGATTCCCAGCATGTCTTCAGTCACCTGACATCCCAAGAGAACGTTCCCATCACACACACACTGAGACAGGCCGTTCGCTGAAACACACACACACACACACACACACCTGCAAACTCAAATCACTGTAAAAGAACACAGAAAGTACTAACTCGCAGAATATGTGGTGTGAAATTGTTCGACAGCTGAATATTGTCTCACGTTTCTGAGAGCGGATCCATGACGCCGCCTTCATGGCCACAAACTGCCACTCATCCTGCTGATCTGATTTAAACGCATATAACCAGATGAGAGCGAGGACGGTGGCCCACACTGACCCGTCCACCTGAAACACAAGCACACCTCAAACACACGCACTGAACCAATCATCAACCTGTCTGAGGATATGACATTGCATGTCTCACCTGTGCTGCTTTCTGATTGGTCACCTCGTCCTCCGTCTTCCCAAACACAGCAGCCAATGAGGCGTTGAGCTCCCAGCATCCCGAGGCCTTCTGAAGAGAGACCAGCTGGAGCAAAGGGTCCTTCTGGGGCTCAGCTTCTTCTGAAATACAGATAGTTCAGACAGAAGTCATCTGGACACCCATAGCAGCATTGTTTCTGATATGTTTATGATTAAAGCAGATAAATATATATTGTTAAGGGCAATTAATAGAAGGTAAGAAATGCTGTAATTTAAAAAAAAGAATAAAATGTGTAAAATCCAAAAGCAGCTCAGTAACTAATACATAATGTGGTGTCCCCATATAAAATCATCCTGTCTGATTAGGGCATTGTTTTCAGAATCTGAGCATGATTTGTTTGATTTACCCTCATATGACATGGAATCACATTCAATCCTCATGCTGTTCGATTGTAAGGCACGTGCTAAAAAACAATCATTCAAAGAGTGACATTCATGAAAGGCAATTAGATTGATACACATTCAATAATGAACAAGAAAAGCTCAGTCAAGTGGTTTATATTTTCCTTACACTTTCGAGAACAAAATGCCATTTGGGGAACCATTGCTGAGAAAACAGAGAGAAAAGCAGATACTGTATAAGAATAAAAACGCTTTAAAAACATATCTGACAGAATCACAAACAAAAAACAGTCGCACCAAACTAGCTTTTGACAAACACAAATCTATCTCAAGTCATCCAAAAATGGTAAAGTTGGTTGATTGACCGTTCTTAATTTTTTTGTGTGATTAACTATATGTATTGGTATTGAAAAACCATAAATTTGTTGTTTTTATTTTACCTGGTTTAACCACAGCAGCAATCTTGGTGTCATGACCATAGGCGGAGCATGTGTAAGGCTGGGGAAGGCTTAGCCTCCCCTGGCCACGGGGTCTTGGGGCAAAAATGACACTAAATTGGACAAAAATGCCCCATGCACAAACAAATTAAATCTATTACTTCTGTTGCTAACAGTGTAAATTAATAAAAAGTGTCGACTGTGCATTAAATTAAGATCTGCTCATGTTGCACCGTATTTAATTTTAGGCGTTTTTACAGTGTTGCGCATTATAACCAATCACACACGATTCTGTTGAGCGCTCAGTCAAGTGGTTTATATTTTCCTTACACTTTCGAGAACAAAATGCCATTTGGGGAACCATTGCTGAGAAAACAGAGAGAAAAGCAGATACTGTATAAGAATAAAAACGCTTTAAAAACATATCTGACAGAATCACAAACAAAAAACAGTCGCACCAAACTAGCTTTTGACAAACACAAATCTATCTCAAGTCATCCAAAAATGGTAAAGTTGGTTGATTGACCGTTCTTAATTTTTTTGTGTGATTAACTATATGTATTGGTATTGAAAAACCATAAATTTGTTGTTTTTATTTTACCTGGTTTAACCACAGCAGCAATCTTGGTGTCATGACCATAGGCGGAGCATGTGTAAGGCTGGGGAAGGCTTAGCCTCCCCTGGCCACGGGGTCTTGGGGCAAAAATGACACTAAATTGGACAAAAATGCCCCTGCACAAACAAATTAAATCTATTACTTCTGTTGCTAACAGTGTAAATTAATAAAAAGTGTCGACTGTGCATTCAATTAAGATCTGCTCGTGTTGCACCGTATTTAATTTTAGGCGTTTTTTTGAACAGTGTTGCGCATTATAACCAATCACACACGATTCTGTTGAGCCTAGGAATGCAATGGCCAATCAGAGGCGTTCAGATGAGTCATCGCTGAAACTCATCAGCTTTGTTGAATGCTCGCACATTCGATGACTGAATTCCACAAATTCTCTCATCATAAACAACAAAGCGCAGATGTACGTACAATGTAAGTAAGGGATTCATTTCGCAGTATAGACAGCTTCAGTGATTATAACAATAGTTTTGGTTTTTTTGAGAGTGCCATAGATCAAAGTTAGTGATAATGTCATTTCTGTACATAATTTATTCACCGTTTGAATAACCGTGGGAAGGAAACGTTATATAATTATCAATTTCTAATGTTTTAATTAAATTGTAATCACATTAAATACAAATTCAGTCCCATTAAACATTTTATTAGCCTACATGACACCCATGTCTGGTTCTTGCCTAAAAAGACAGGTTTATGATGTTTGTAGTTAATAGATTTGGCTGCTTTTAGCCTTACCCTGGAGTTGGTTCACCCTCCGCCTATGGTCATGACCCACATCAAATTTTGGTTATACAGACACTTACAAAAACCTCAATATCTGAAATTGTGTGCTATAACATAAAATTGTACTCTAAAGTGCTACTGTGCTCCTTCCTGCAAAAAAAGATCTCTATGAAGAATTTCAGTCAGGTTTCAGGCCCCACCATAGCACAGAAACTGCACTTGTTAAAATTACAAATGACTTGCTTCTTGCGTCAGACCAAGGCTGCGTCTCATTGCTAGTTTTACTTGATCTTAGTGCTGCGTTCGATACTATATATCATGACATACTCATAGATCGATTACAAAACTATACAGATATTCAAGGGCAGGCTTTAAGATGGTTTAGATCCTACCGGTCTGATTGATACCACTTTGTTTATTTAAATGGAGAGTCATCAAAATTATCACCAGTAAAATATGGAGTGCCACAAGGATCTGTCCTAGGTCCTCTGCTATTTTCAATATACATGTTGCCCCTTGGTAATATTATTAGAAAATTCGGGATTTCAGTGTTAGTTTAGGATTTAGTTTCAGTGGTGTAATGTAACAAAGTAATAATATTCGTTACAGTACTTAAGTATTTTTTGGGAGTATCTGCACTTTACTTGAGTTTTTATATTTCAGCCAACTTTTACTTTTACTCCACTACATTTCCTAATTAAAATGTATACTTTTACTCCAATACATTTCCCCGAAGCATATTCATTACTTACTACAAAATAGTCAGAAGTCAGAAGAACACGGACTGCAGGAAAGCAGGTTTGACGAATCAGTGGTCTGGCGTCTGCAAGGTAGACTTCTAAAAAACACCTTTGCTCGTGCAAACAAGTGCGCGCACAACCGTGGATGATTAATTTTCCTCTCAAGTCGAGGCTGTATATTTATATAATTTAATATAGTTAATCTATATCACACAAAGAGTAACGTTTTTCTGCAGATATCAGTATGATAACAAATGTAATAATCATTTTATACAAGTTCAGTAAAGTTAACAATAAGTGACTTACATTTTATACATAATATTGCTTGTTTTTGCTCAATTTTGCTAACGAAAATAGATCCAAACAAAGATCACAGCAATGTTTTGCATCTCTGAGCAATGGACGGTGTTTACTTATTGAATGAATCAGCTTTTTTAACGAATTGGTTGAATAAATGATTCAGTGATTCACTCATTAGCACAGTCAAATACTTTGTTTCTGAATGAATCAGCCGTTTGAATGAATAGGTTGAATCTCAATGACTCACTCATTAACAGTCACTTACTGTCACCTACTGGCGGTTTTAATTTCACATTTCGACTTTTTTTCTTCTTCAGGTTTTAAATAATTTCAAATATCAGTATTCAACGTTTTCTGTTAAAATCAAAACATTTATGCATCTGTAACTGCAGGTTAAATGCATCCATGTCCCTCTGAGATACATAAACTGTGTAAATACATCTAAATGCTATTTCAGATGCAGATTCCAGAAATGTTTTCTTTTGTTGGAATGAAAGACACTACGTACTGGATGAAGTCCTTCTTATTCTTACCCAAAAATAGAAAATGGATAAAAAGAGTTAAAACTGAACACAATCTTGCTACTCAAGCTGTGTATGAACATTATATATATATACTCCTTTTCCATTCTGCATTTACTTGTACTTTTACTTTCAATACTTAAGTACGTTTAAGATTTTTACAATTTTAGATTTTTATAATTAAGATTTAGGGGAAGTTGTGGCATAATGGTTAGAGAGTCGGACTCGTAACCCAAAGGTTGCGGGTTCGAGTCTCGTACCGGCAGGGATTGTAGGTGGGGGGAGTGAATGTACAGCGCTCTCTCCCACCTTCAATACCACGACTGAGCTGCCCTTGAGCAAGGCACTGAACCCCCAACTGCTCCCCGGGCTGCCCACTGCTCCGGGAGTGTGTTCACTGCTGTGTGTGTGCACTTTGGATGGGTTAAATGCAGAGCACTAATTCCTAGTATGGGTCACCATACTTGCCCACACGTCACGTCACAATACTTTTTGTACTTAAGTACAATAAATATCACATACTTTAAGACTTTTACTCAAGTAATATTCTAAACAGTGACTTCAACTTCTACCAAAGTCATTTTCTGGTAAGATATCTGTATTTTTACTTGAGTATGGCTTTCAGGTATTTTATACAACATTAGTTTCGACTGTTATGCTGATGATACTCAACTATATATCTCAACAAGACCAGATGAAACTTCTAAATTATCTAAGCTAACAGAGTGTTAAAAATGTAAAAGATTGGATGACCAATAATTTTCTCCTATTAAATTCGGATAAGACAGAGATATTACTTATTGGACCAAAAGACAGTACACCGAATCTCGTGGATTACAATTTGCAGCTAGACGGATGCACGGTTACTTCCTCTACAGTCAAAAATCTGGGTGTTATATTAGATAGCAACTTGTCTTTTGAAAATCATATTTCCCATGTTACAAAAACAGCATTCTTCCATCTTAGAAACATTGCCAAGTTACGAAACATGATACCTGTTTCTGATGCAGAAAAGCTAGTTCATGCATTCATGACCTCTAGACTGGACTATTGTAATGCACTGCTAGCTGGTTGTCCTGCATCTTCAATAAACAAGCTACAGGTAGTCCAAAATGCAGCGGCTAGAGTCCTTACCAGGTCAAGAAAATATGACAGGATTCGTACACATTTTTACCAATACATTTTCCATGACTTTTCCATGACTTTTGAGACAATATTCATGACCTAAATGTTCCATTATTTTACAATAAGAATAAAAATCTGGTCAAATTATCATAGCATATGTTAACTAAAATGAATGACTATTAATGCTACTCGTTTGCTTTCTTGTTTTAGTAATAAGTACAAGCTACAACTGCGCCAGACCTGACTCCACATTTCACATCACTGAATATTATCATTTATTTAACTGTGTGGCCAGGATGGCCATTTTGGTGTCATTTTGTGTGTATTTTTGCTGCTTAAATGCAACAAGCTGCACTTTAGAGCCCTGCATTTCAGACCGAGCGCAACGGCCCCAACTTATTTATGTACAATTTTCACATCATAGCTCAGACACGGGCCAGGCATCAGGCTTGCTTCCTCCTTATGTTTATATTTTAGATGTAGCTCCTAATAGCACACATTTATCTAGGTTAACCATTTAAACTAACATTGTTTTTTTAAGCATTTTATAAAGGCCTATAGATTTTATTTTAGTCAAGTGGTGATGATTTGAAGCAGGAATGAGTAAAACTATGCGCAATCCCGCACCGAAATTCAGGACCTGATTAAACACAATTCTAATATACAGAGTTTTGTGAAATAGATATCAATGACTTTTTCAAAACTTTCTGGGTTTATTTATTTGTTCCAAAACTTTTCCAGGCCTGGAAACTATATATCTCAACAAGACCAGATGAAACTTCTAAATTATCTAAGCTAACGGAGTGTGTTAAAAATGTAAAAGAATGGATGACCAATAATTTTCTCCTATTAAATTCGGATAAGACAGAGATATTACTTATTGGACCAAAAGACAGTACGCCGAATCTCGTGGATTACAATTTGCAACTAGATGGATGTACGGTTACTTCCTCTACAGTCAAAAATCTGGGTGTTATATTAGATAGCAACTTGTCTTTTGAAAATCATATTTCCCATGTTACAAAAACGGCATTCTTCCATCTTAGAAACATTGCCAAGTTACGAAACATGATACCTGTTTCTGATGCAGAAAAGCTAGTTCATGCATTCATGACCTCTAGACTGGACTATTGTAATGCACTTCTAGGTGGTTGTCCTGCATCTTCAATAAACAAGCTACAGGTAGTCCAAAATGCAGCGGCTAGAGTCCTTACCAGGTCAAGAAAATATGATCATATTACCCCAATTTTACAGTCTCTGCACTGGCTACCTATTAAGTTCCGTATCAATTACAAAGTATTATTACTTGCCTATAAGGCCCTTAATGGGTTAGCTCCTGCGTACCTAACTAGTCTTCTACCACGCTACAATCCATCACGCTCCCTAAGGTCGCAAAACTCTGGACTTTTGGTAGTACTTAGGATAGCAAAGTTCACTAAAGGAGGTAGAGCTTTTTCGCATTTGGCTCCCAAACTCTGGAATAGCCTTCCTGATAACGTTCGGGGGTTCAGACACACTCTCTCTGTTTAAATCTAGATTAAAGACACATCTCTTTGGCCAAGCATTCAAATAATGCATCTCATAATCTTGTACTGCAGTTATATCTGATCAAATGCACATTATTATTCTTTAGTTTGGGTTAAACAAATCATTTTTGCTTGGTTGGAACAGCAGCTACGCTAATTATGTTTGTATTTGTTTCTCTGTTTCTGCTGGGATTAACATCCCGTGGTAACTAGGATTTACACAAGCTTCAGTCTGGATCCAGAACACCTGAGAAGAGATGATGCAACCCCTCAGAGGACCTCAGATGATGCCAACCCTGAAACAACATACACAACTACCACATTCTGCTATAAGTTTGATTGCATCATATAATAATTGCTGTTAATAGTGTTCATCGTCTGTTTTATTACGTCTTATATTGATTTTTCCGTACATTTCTGCCATATGTACATTAACTGACAGTCACCACTGATAAACTACCACTAAATATTGTAGAAACTTAGTTTTCTGTAAAGCTGCTTTGCAACAATTTGTAACGTGAAAAGCGCTGTACAAATAAACTTGAATTGAATTGAATTAAAGATCAGCTTTGTTCAAAGGAGCTACGACCATTCTGAGCTGAGATATTGAGGTTTATGTAAACATCTGCATTACCAAAACATGTGTTTTTTTTAATAATAGTACATAAAGGTAATCTCTCAACAAACTAATTTGGAAAATTAAAAATAGTCAAACAACCCCCACCGGTCCGCTTGAGATGGACTGAACCATGAAAACAAAGAATATGGTAGGTTATTTCTTACCGCACAATCCCATAGGGGCACCAAAAAATGCAGGCATCATATCTAATAAAGAATTGAATGTCACATGATGATGATGTGAATACACCAAATTATTATGTATGTCTACCTACTATGTGACAGGAAAACTGATTATGAAATCATACTTGTAAACCAGCTGTGCCCAATCCTCATCCTGGAGCCCCAGTGTCCTGCAGACTTTAGTTCCAACCTGCTCCACTTCACTTTCCTGAAATTTCGAGTCGCCCTGAAGACCTTGTTCAGCAGATCCAGATGTGTTTAATTAGAACTGGAACTAAACTCTGCAGGACCGTGGCTCTCCAGGATCAGGATTGTTCTAAACAGACAATAAATCAGTGAATGCACACACACACAGAGAGAACTTACATGGCACTGGCACTCTCCTCTGCAGCAGCGGTCCTTTCACAGTCTGTTTGCTGTCTTTATTAACGCCGATGAAGGCTGTATGAACGCTGCTCACTCCTGCCTGAACGCTGAGCTCCACAATCCTTCTCCTGATGTTCTCCGCGTCTGCTCGTCCGGCTCGTTCCTCCAGCTCCAGAGAGCGGATCACAGACCGGGCCGCCAGCCGGTGGATCGTCAGCCTGCAACAAACACAAACCTGTAAACACAGTCTTCAGTGTCAGAGACGCGGCCCAGCGGCTAGTGAGCGTCTGATACAGTGTCACTTTTGGGTCATTTCATCCCACTCTTTTTTTGTATTGATTCATGTCACATCTATAATTGTCCTATTAAAGCCAAAATAAGCAATAAAATGAATAGCAATAAAACTGTCTTAGTGAAACATACTGTTGGCCAGTGTGTGTTTGTTTAGCTTGGGACAGCTATGTTCAAAAGCATAATAACATCCTTTTTACACCACTAAATTTCATAAAAACAAAAGCATATAATTTCTCATTTTGAATTGAAGAAAATCACAACCCCTCTGAGGCTCAAGAGCAATGTCCTATTCATGAACGAGCGGATTCTGTCCAATGAACCGGATGAAACCTGTGTGTGAGAGTGTACAAGTATGATAGTGAGTGTGTGTTACCCTGTGTCTTCCGTTGGTTTAAGAGTAAATTGAAGCTGGTTAGTCACCGGTTGATCGTTCAGCCTGTATTTCATGGTTACAGCTCCTTCTGTCTGTCCTGAACTCTATGATGAGGAAGAAAGAGTAAGAGAAGGTAACATATTTGATGTTTAAGGATTGTACAGGGCTCTTCAACTATTTAAATTAAATTTGTGATTGCATGTATCATGTAGTTTTTTAACTAAATGTGATGCAATGGCACCAGATGTGACAAAATCTATCACAAATCTCAGCCAATCAGAAGAGCGCGTGGACAGAGCCTCCCTTCAAATTCACTGCTGTCTCTAGCTTGTGATTTCTTTTGTCATATGACGACCAGTATATTTGTTCTTGTTCTCTTTATATATATATTTTAAAATATCCTTCATGCTTTTATTATGGCTATATTAGTCACATATGATCATATGGCTTATAAAGTCAAATTAAACCCTTTTAACATTCTAAATCCCATAATCAGTACCTCAGACGATCATCCCACCAGGATTTCGTGGGACTTTTTTCTGATTTTTGTAACCTAAAAAGACTGAATTTGTGGTGGCTTTTCTCAAAATTTGTGTCAATATTTGTAGCATTTTTTTTTTGTCGTTTTGCAGCGAAAATATTCCACAGACAACATTCTTCTAACATTTTTAACACAAGGTTAAAAGGTTAAAGGTTAAAAAAGGAATTTCTGACTAATATTTATTTCAGGCTTTACAGGGTTAATAAAAGCCCATTTCCACCGCAGGAACGTTCCCCAGGAACTAGGGACATTGGGCTGTACTCGGTGTGTTTCCACCGCAGGAATCAGGATCTAAATAAAGTTCTGGGTAAAAATTTGCTCCTCAGAAAGCCCTGTTCGCGAGGATGTACTTTTTCAAAGGTCAGGAACTTTCGGGGGTGGGACTTGGGCACTGATGCTGATTGGTTGAGTTCATGCAGCATTGCATTTCAACCACTATTTATTCGCATAATTTTTTTAAATATTAATGTTATTGTGTCATGAAATGTAGTTTTAAAAGTATTTCACGTGAGAATGTAGTTGTTTAAAACTCAAATCCGCGGTTTATTTATAAAGACAGCATCTATTTAAAAAATGTGCTTCGCTGATTTCAGAGACGTGAGCTCCAGGCGATCAGCGGGCGATCAGTGCTCATGTTTCTCACCTCGGCTAGTCCTTCTGACATTCTGGGGGAAAAAGTTAATGTAAAAGAAAGAAATGTAAATATAACAGTAGCCTAACTTTGAAAAATACACATTTACAAAGTAAACAAATGTTTCAAACATATTAAAGTACAAAAGAATGCAACTTTAAATAGGACTTTAGTTTTTTGTTGATAAACAATAAAATGTCAAAACTGACTTCCTTTCTTTTCCGTCACAAGCGAGTCAGAAACAGACAGTAGTGCAGCCTGCTGTGTTTACAGCCGTAAAACTGGAAACTGCTGTACTACTGCTGTAACATGAGCGCCACCTACTGTCAGACAGTGAATTTACATTTTCATTCAGCATCTGCTTCATTCATTCTGTCAGGCTGCTCGTCCATTTTTGCAGGAAATCTGCAATTTAAAAAAATCCAAATATTGTGGAGCTTGCTTGATTTTGCTTTAAACTCTGCAATTGCAGAATCGTGAAACCCTGGAGCGACTGATTATTGCCAGTGGACATACATTTTGTATTTTCTTCTTTCAGCTGCAATGTCACAAATAAATAGAAACAGTTTCAGAAACAGAATCTCCTGACGCTTGTTATGTGTCCCTGTCACAGTTGGTTAGGACAAAACTCGGAAAAGATTCTTCCTTCATTTATTTATGGCTGTCCCAGACTAAAGATTTTTCCAGTCGATTAATAAACTAATTTTACTTCTGCCTAGTGTTTTCCGAGTCAGTGTTGGCTCTGCAGTACAGTGACGCACCTTCAGAGAAAAATTCACCTTTCATACAGATTACATAATCAGAAAGTTTTGATTTCAATAGGTTTTAAGCTTTCTATAGATATATTTCTCATGTCTGTGAGGCAAGTAGCCTATACACAAGTTTCGCTTCATTTTTGTGACAGTTCACGGAGACCGAGACAGCAGAAAGCACGTCTTTCTTTGCTTTAAAGTAGTACAATGTTTTGTTGATATTGTGAGATATTTTGAATGATGTCTTACTCTTATCTGTAATACTCCTATATGTTTCTGCTGTTATGAGAAAAACAATGTCAGTGATCACGCCAGTGCCTCCTTGCAGTAGTGAACTAACAGTTTCCACACTCTGCACTCGGATATAGCGCACATTTATCTAGGTTAACGGTAGAGCGAGCAGCTGTGTAAATGTTCTATTATGTTAGGATGACCATACGTGCCATTTTTCCCGGACACGTCCTGGCCAGGATTTCTATATTGCCTAAAATATCTAGGTTTTGGTTTTGTTCGCGCTGCGCAGACCGAATGTTGTATGACATCAAGGTACAGTGAGAGCTATAGAGAGCAGACTTAACCTATATTTGAGGTCCATGAATGATTTTGGGTTTCCTGCCAGATACACTGCAATTTACTCAAGGACCAGCCGTTGACAATCTTTTTCGGCATTCACACACATGTGCAACTAGAAGTGAGCAGCCCCAGACTGACAGGCTTTCTCTGAGTGAATAATCTGCATTATAAAAAGAAAAAGAAACCACCAACAAAGTATTTAAAGACTATTTACGATTACTTATTGCTGCCAAGTTATCAAGTCTTTGCTTGTTTACAGTGCTATATGGTTACAGTGTTATATGGAGCAGTTTGGTAGATCGCGGTCTAATTAGTTTGTCTAATGAAGTGCTTCAGTGACCAGTGTGTGAAAGTACACAGGTTACACCGTAATTTAAACATGGCAAACTTTAATGGACAGTAAAACAAAGGCAGAATACAGTATAAAGGTCCTTGTACACTGAGTCTGACATTTTCGTATGTGTTTTTCATATTCATCATCCTAAAAATTTGTCACGCACAGAAGCCTTGCACATCCAGTCTGATGAGTATTAATCCGTTGCAAAACAATTCACAAAACAATATAAAATGGAGTCTTCAAGCAGTTTTGATTTAATGATTTTGTTGTCCTCCCTCTTCTTAAAAAGAGAAAAAGAAAGAGGAAATATTGGGCCCATCCAATCCTGAAGTATAGCGAGGATTATCACGAGCGATTCAAAGTTCACTTCAGGATGTCAGTGGCTCAGTTTGATGCTTTGCTAGTGATACTGGAGACACATATTAAAAAGAAGACCACCAATTTCTGTGAACTCAGTGTTCAAGGATCTTTGCAGTGCTTTGTGCTGCAAGACGAGGCAGATCGACTTGTTAGATGCCATTCTGGATTTTGGCGTTCACTTGTGCGGTGGCTCAGAATAGTCAAAATACCTCCCTAAATGCTTGCTACGGATGCGAAAACACAGAAAATCGAACCCAATACGAATTTTTTTATGACGGATGAAAGTTTTGGAGGCAGTGTTTAAACGTGATTGACACAACATGAGGTCGTATTTATTTTTTAACGTGTGAAAATTTCGGATGAAAATGCCCTTGACGAACATGTGCAATGACCGGCACAGTAACTTCATACTAACGCACGGCTAAACAAAGGCAGAGTACCGTAACTTAATTTGAGCATTCCTAAACAAAGTCAAAGAGTAGTAACTGCTGTTATACGGTGTTCTGCCTTTTGTTTCTGCTGGGTTTTTAGAGTTACGGTTAAGACAACCCATTATTTTCTTGAAAAAACAATGAAATTGATTCAAGATACTTATCCACATGATGAAGGAAGTCTTGAATGTCCCAAAAAAATATCAATAACACATTTTCAACTGAAAACAAAGTTACAGCCTTTAGCCTTTGCACGGCAGAATACATTTTTGGTCGACTAAGCCTCTTCTGGATGACCAACGGTTAGTTGACTACTGGGGGGCAGCCCTACTTTTATCACATCACAGTGTCACGTAACAGCAATTTTTTTCTTAAATCGCAAAGCCACTCAAAAACGACTGAAATGTCAGATTTGGCCTGTGGTCTGCTGGTTGTTGAACCCTTGGTTTAAACAAATGAATGACGCTGGTCTCCAGAAGCACATTAGATAAAACTATTCATAAAACCTTTCACCTGTCCTTTAATCTGAGCGTAGATGAGCGCCCTTTGACCCTGGAACAGAGTATTGATGGGGGGGGACAGCATGTCCACCGTCACGCCTTCAGGAACGGTCCAGTCCACAGAGATATTATCCACGGCCGGCTGGAGAGCAAACCTGAGCGACTGCATCACCTGATGGAGAAGAGAGGCTCGTAAATAAACATCTTGCACTGACTCTATCCAGTCTGTTTCCACAGCAGGTCTTACTTTGGGCTGCATGCGGTCAGTGCCTGTGATGAACTGAGCGTGACCAGAACCTTCTCTGGCCATTCCTGTGATGAGAGCCGTACTCGCACCCTCACCGATCCCGAAGGAGAAGCACCTGAAGACACAAGAGCAGCTCCAGCGCTGAGCTTCTGACATTAACTTACCCTGGAGTAAATGAGGAGGACTGAGACGAGAGAACACACCTGTGAGAGTAAACCTGACTCTTCACCAGATCCAGCACCTCCTTAGTGTTCCACACCTCTCCATCAGTGAAGATGAACAGCTGGGAGAGAAGAAGAGAGAGTAGTAAATGATCTCTGTTTTCCTGAAGGAATCTGTGAGAGCGTGGGTGTGCTGGCCGTGCTGAACCTGTCGAGGGTGATCTGGGTAACAGGGCTGACTGTAGATGTGTTTCAGAGGCTGGAGGATCTCGGTGCCACCCAAGTCTGCGCTCATGCTCTTTACTCTCTTCAGAGCCTCTTCCATCGTGTCCTCGCTGTACACGACACTCTGACTGCAACGACACACCACAGTCTCTCTCAAAACCACAGCTAACCCACACAAAGTCACTCCTGAAGGATAATTAACATCTAGTCACTGACGGGAAGAAGGACTCAAAGTGAGATCCGAATCCGTAGATGTTGAAGTAGCATCCCATGGGCAAACTCTTCAGCAGCAGCAGCAGCGTGTCCTGGAGAGACACATGTGCAGATGAGCACGCATGACTCAATGCACTCAAATTAATGCGTCATATCTGAAATCCTAAATCTTACTCTTGCGCTTTCGATGCGCATCTGTGCGTCGTTCCCATGATGCATCTTGCAGTCCATACTGCCTGATCTGTCGACCACAAAAATGAACTCGCCCTGAGACGCCAGTGATGACATCACATCCGCAGGGAACTCTGGGTACAGACTGATCATGAGCGCCGGGTCGCCCATCAGAGACCCTGAAACATTTACATTTATTCATTTGGCAGATGTTTTTATCCAAAGCGACTAACAGTTGAGGAATACAACGAGATTTATCATAAGATGGCAATAAACACGAGAAGTGCCCTTTCAGTCAAGGTTTCAGTCATCGTTCAAAATAGTAAAATCTGGGACAAGAAGGTATAAAGGATAATAAGAGAACAGAAAAAGAGAAGACAGATTTTTTTTAATGTTTTTTTTTGTTCGATGCTCATAGGAACACACCTGTGAGAGTAAACGTGACTCTTCACCAGATCCAGCACCTCCTTAGTGTTCCACACCTCTCCATCAGTGAAGATGAACAGCTGGGAGAGAAGAAGAGAGAGTAGTAAATGATCTCTGTTTTCCTGAAGGAATCTGTGAGAGCGTGGGTGTGCTGGCCGTGCTGAACCTGTCGAGGGTGATCTGGGTAACAGGGCTGACTGTAGATGTGTTTCAGAGGCTGGAGGATCTCGGTGCCACCCAAGTCTGCGCTCATGCTCTTTACTCTCTTCAGAGCCTCTTCCATCGTGTCCTCGCTGTACACGACACTCTGACTGCAACGACACACACCACAGTCGATCACAAAACCACAGCTAACCCACACAAAGTCACTCCTGAAGAATAATTAACATCTAGTCACTGACGGGAAGAAGGACTCAAAGTGAGATCCGAATCCGTAGATGTTGAAGTAGCATCCCATGGGCAAACTCTTCAGCAGCAGCAGCAGCGTGTCCTGGAGAGACACATGTGCAGATGAGCACGCATGACTCAATGCACTCAAATTAATGCGTCATATCTGAAATCCTAAATCTTACTCTTGCACTTTCGATGCGCATCTGTGCGTCGTTCCCATGATGCATCTTGCAGTCCATACTGCCTGATCTGTCGACCACAAAAATGAACTCGCCCTGAGACGCCAGTGATGACATCACATCCGCAGGGAACTCTGGGTACAGACTGATCATGAGCGCCGGGTTGCCCATCAGAGACCCTGAAACAAAGAGCTGTGTTACACTGAACAACAGTCTCAATCCTGCAGAGCGAATCAAAGCTTCCTGAACAACTCAAGCCCCGCATCCCAACTCATGCACCACCCGCCCTAAACATCACAGATCAGTGCACAACCTTCTAGAATAAAATTAATTATTTTGCTGTAGATAAAATCAGCATTCTTTGATCAAACAGTAAGATATGAACACCATTATAAGTATACTTACACCAAACCGAATTCAAAGGCAAACAAAAGCATCATATCTTGCATGTTTCACTAAGATTTGCACTGGATTGTTCAGAGTTATACCTGACTGAGCCGCAGACGCTGCTGCCTCGACTGCAGCCGAGGGCTGATGGGAATTCTCATAATACAGAAACAGCTCCACATCCTTCTCAAACCGGTGACCAGAACTAAGATTCACCTACACACACACAATCACATACACACAATCACAGACTTCTTGAAATTGAGACATTAAGTGCATAAAAACTGGTCATGCGCACACAGAACGAGAAACACACACACTCTCTCTCTCTCTCTCTCTCTCTCTCTCTCACACACAGAATGAGTAACACACTCTCTCTCACACACACACGCACGCACACAGAACGAGAAACACACTCTCTCTCTCTCACACTCACAGAACGAGAAACACACTCTCTCTCTCTCTCACACACACACACACACACACACACACAGAGCGAGAAACACACTCTCTCTCTCACACACACACACACACACACACACACACACAGAACGAGAAACACACACTCTCTCTCTCTCTCACACACACACACTCATAGCTGTCCATCATATTCGCTGATGACGCTTGCTCCAGAGATGGGAGTGGGAAAGGGGTGGGTTCAGCGATGTTGCCGCTAGTGCCACTTCTCGTGGTCCGTCGTTCCCGGATGCTACCGTGCTTGTCACCAGTGAGTGATTTTATTTTTATTAAAATGATTGGGGATGTTTTGAAATTTTATTTAAGCCTTTATTTGTTTATTTAAATGTCATTTATTTATATTTTATTGATTGATTTATTATATTTATTTAGTTAATCTCATTTAATTTTTATTCAATCCCAGATAAATTCGTTACTGTGTTGGTACTATGGTAAACAGTAGGGATGCGCCGATCCGCCTTTTTCGCCTCCGATACGATTCCAATACCTAGGGTTCAGTATTGGCCGATCCCGATCCGATACCAGTGGATCGTTTTTTTCCCCTCATTTAAATAAATGTAGAATTTATATATCTCTGTGTGTGGAACTGATAATCATTCTTTCACAATCTACTAGATACAGAATACTTCATTATAAAGAAAAATAAAATAAACAAATATGAAAAAATATAGGCCTATGTATATTTATTTTCTTTTATTATATTGTCTTTCGGATGAGACGTTAAACCGAGGTCCTGACTCGCTGTGGTCATAAAAAAAAATCCCATGGCACTTCTCGTAAAGAGTAGGGGTGTAACCCCGGTGTCCTGGCCAAATTGCCCCCCCTGGCCTTTGTCAATCATGGCCTCCAAATGATCCCCAACCACTTGATTGGCTCTATGACTCTCTCCACCTGTATCTGGTGTGTGGTGAGCGCACTGGCGCCGCTGTTCTGTGGCTGCCGTCGCATCATAAAAGTGGATGCTGCACACTGGTGGTGGTTGAGGAGAGACCCCCCCACATGATTGTAAAGCGCTTTGGGTGTACAACAATACACAAAGCGCTATATAAAATGCATCATTCATTCATTTATAATCTATGACAAAAATGTATCAAACTAGGTTAGTGGATAATTCGGCAGCAAAAGTTATTCTAGAAAAATCAGTGCACAATAATTTTAGAAATCCAAACATTTAGTGAAAAAAACATTTTGTGGGGAACAAATAAAAGTGTTGCACTAAATATGGTAAAATGTTACACTATTTGTATTATTATAAAATCCATTCATTAAAAACATTCATGAATGTATTTATATATAAGTATATACTATAAAATTAAAATAAATTTCTTTTAAATGTATAGCATATTGTTTTAATAAGGCAACAACATATGATAGATACGATAGGACAAAACAAATACAGTGCAGCACAAACTGTTTTTATAGTCAACCCTCTACGGACACCTTGGCAATTGATTCGCCATCGGCTAGTATATTTTTTTTGTTTACTCGCCAGACTGAAATACTATACTATATATATATGTAAGTTATGCCATTTTACAAACATATATAATGTTTGTAAAATGGTACAGCTTTTTAAATTTCTGAAAGTACACTCTTAATAGCAGTCAGTCAAGCATTATAATATGATAATCAAGTATTATTTAATAATAGAAGTTTAGTAATTAGAATTAAAACTTAGTAACCATGAACTTAGGACTGGTACTGGTTTTGGTCATTCAGTGTTCCTGTAAAAAAAAAAAGAACAATAACACTGATAAGATATTATTATACGAATTCTACTAATAAGAACAATATAAAAACGCACTAAGGATTAATGCACTACTTCGTCTGAATGTGAACAAAATGTTTTCAACATTGATGATAATAATCAGAAATGTTTCTTAAGCAGCATATTAGAGAATACTTCTGTGACTAAGCTACAGATGTGGACGGTCGCGGTCTGTATATGATTATGATCTTGAGGTCTTCATCATCATCTCATGTTGCTCCTGAGATCAGTAAGGATCACCTGCTGGTGTGTATCGTGGGTTGAGTACAGCCGGCAGACAGAAGCGCAGCGCGTGATCGGCCTGGACGCTGAGCTCGATGATGTAGACGATGGTGATGGAGGCGTTCTGACCCGGAGACAAACAGCCCACACTCAGTCTGAACACATCTGAACTCTCCTCGCTCTCTTCCAGCAGAAACGCCTGCTGCCCCGAGCTCACAGCATCATCATACTGATCCCGCGCCTGCGAGAGACAAACTCATCCGTATCCACACACTCCAACACAATCAGACACATCAGAGAAAGATGCAGACTCACGCTCTGTCTGTCCTGCAGCTCGGCCCTGATCTCCTGCTCTCCGATCCTGGCGCTGAAGTGGCAGACGGCGGCGTCGGCGGGCAGCGGGAAGACGAACACGGCCTCCAGCGGACGCTCCTCCTCATTCACATACTGCAGACAGGAGCGGACAGACGCCACGTGATCCTGAACCTGCAGCTCCACCGAGATGCTCTTCAGAGGAACTGAGAGAGAAACAGAAGAAAATCATGACTTCTGTGGAATTACAAAGAGACAGACACAATATGAAACAAACTGTTAAAGCTTTGATTAAAAGGAAGAGATGTTTATACCTGGTTCGTTTTTTTCAGACACGAGACCACAGCAGTTCACCATGATGATGCTCTGAGACAACAAATCAGCTTTTACTCCACATTATATTTCATAACTTGTGTCTATTTAGACATAATCTGTCATGACTACACAACCTGCTCAAAAATAAACAGCTGCTGTAAACTTACATAGAAGCGTTGGACATATAATGGGATCATCAGGGAAATAAATCTTTATTAAGGTATTTTACCACCACCTTTTAAGACAGCTTCCTTCTTCCTAGAATATATTCATATAACTTTTTATCTTTTTTTAGTCTACAGTGTAAGAAACAGCCCAGTCTTCGTATGGCGTCCTTCATTCGAGTGTTCTGAAGAACACAGGGGCTGAATCCTTCATGTGCTTCAATCCTGAGCACATTCTCCAATTATTTTTTACATGGAGTTGCACAGTGTTTTAAGAAATCTTCAATTACAATTTCCTGCAGGTGCATTTTGAAATGTTTTAACTAATCATCTTGTACTGAATAGATAGTTTTGCTGATTTCAGTTCTAGTTTCTGAGTATGAATTATCATATGCAGTGAAAGACAACATCCAAGCACTGTTTTGCCACAAACTCAACTGACTGGCTTCTCTTCTGTCTGATTTCACATCAGTCTCTATGCGTGTGTGTATTATCCCGCTCTATGCGTGTGTATGTGTGTATTTTATCATATGCAGTGAAAGACAACATCCAAGCACTGTTTTGCCACAAACTCAACTGACTGGCTTCTCTTCTGTCTGATTTCACATCAGTCTCTATGCGTGTGTGTATTATCCCGCTCTATGCGTGTGTGCTCCGCTCAGTCGCTCCACTCGTATACCGCTCATGCTCATCGGAACAGCAAAGTCCACTCAAACATCGAGCCGATGGGAAACATGGATGTAGTACAATATTGTTTCTGTCTGCAATAGCCCTTCTGTGTGTGACATGTGTGGTATATGAGCAACGCTGGTAACGCTGCCCTCTCATTCATTGTTCTGATGATAATAGCTTTCTAGGACTCAGTCGCTCCACTCGTATACCGCTCATGCTCATCGGAACAGCAAAGTCCACTCAAACATCGAGCCGATGGGAAACATGGATGTAGTACAGTATTGTTTCTGTCTGCGACATGTGTGGTATATGAGCAACGCTGGTAACGCTGCCCTCTCATTCATTCATCTGATGATAATAGCTTTCTAGGACTAAACATTATTTGGATAATTGGTACAAAAAACTAAACGAAATCTCTTAATAGCCCTACTGTTAGACCTGAAAAACTAAAAAGCAATTTATTTAATTCAAAGGCCTGTCGTTATTTTTTATTTGTGCTATCATTATTCATTTCTTTATTTGTTCTTATTCTACTACTGACTGGTTACTTGTCATTTTTTATTCAATTCAAAGTTTGAAATCAAGCTATCTCGTGCTACTGTACCAAAATTACCCCACTGTAAAATTAAAAAAAACACTGAGTGAGCAAAAATTTGTGAGAGAGTTTAAGTTATAATGGTAATTAAACAATGTTTACATATGAATAAAAGCCTACATTAAAATCTGTCATATAAACTGGTCTCATTAGAAATTAGCCTACTGATTGCCTCCATGGACAAAACAATTTATAATATTAAAAATATCTGACACACACACACACACACATATATATAT